GAGAGAGAGAGAGAGAGAGAGAGAGAGAGAGAGAAAGATGATTACTATAGGAGCTGTGCGCTTCATAATTACGTTCTTTGTATTATTGTACAGCGCCTTGAGCACTTCTTTGTGGAAATGCGCTATATAAATGCAATTTATTATTATTAATTCTATATTTCATAAAGGCCGTTGGCCTTTACCTAAAAATGTGACGGGCTTATCTAAAATGTAATTAAGTATGTACAAAATGGAATGATCTGTTCTCCGTCGTTGCCCACAAACAGAATTTTCGATTTTTTGAAAGCAGCTGGCCTGTACAGAAACATGGAATATACGGTTATTTTATGTTAAATCATAGTAATTGTAAATTACTGTTATTTTTACAAAGGAACTTTTGCCATGATTAAAAAAAACAAACCATTTTAATCGAATCATTGCCCCCAAAACCAAGCGGTGATATGAACTGTTGTGAACGGAACCAACTTGTGTTTCGCGCGCTCATAATATTATGAGCGTTATGCAGTGACGAACGTCGTAAAACTCTTACTGGAAAAAGAGTCACATGGAAGACTACGCCAGATTAGGTGAAGATGACCACGGGGTGGCCGGGTAGCGCCATGTCACTAATGTCGCTGACCTTACCTAACGTTCTTTGTTGCCTGGCTGGGTGAGGGTTTTAGTTTTTAGTTGTAGTTGAGGTTTTACGGCGCTCGCAACTGCAAAAGATCATATGAGCGCTAGAAGATTTTGTGTTACAAGAGAGTAACAATAAACATAAAAAAGAAGAAGGGGAAATAAGGATGATAGATGTTTCATAGGAAAGAAGAAGAAGCAAACCACACTAGAGCACCCACCAGCCACCCATTGGGTCAGGGTGTCCTGTGTAATCATGTGGTAATGGCTGACGTTTACGACGAGTCCTTACCTAGCGTATCTGGTCTCACTTACCTAGCCTATCTGGTCTCACTTACCTAGCCTATCTGGTCTCACTTACATAGCCTATCTGGTCTCACTTGCTTACAGCAGGGCGTGCACTCGTGCAAGTGGGTTTTTAAAAAATTATTTAGATCTAGTAAGGTTTTTACGGCGCTCGCAACTGCATAAGGTCATAATATATATGAGCGCCAAGGGGTGGATGTCAACAGAGAAGTCCAAACGGGGAATCAGGCTCACCTCTCTAGCCTCAACAGCACAAAGTCTGCTTCGATCATCAAGGCATCCCGGAATTAACAGATGTGCAAGTGTTTCAATGTAGCTGTTCTTAATTTTTTTATGTGTGTGTGTGTGT